GCGGAAAGTTAGCTGGAAAGGCATGGGAGCCTAAGCAGCAGACTCCATGTGCAAACAAAGTTCACATAGTGAGGTCTGGCTGTAATGTCGGCAAATACGACCATGAGCCTTCACATCATGAACATAGAGTTATCTCCCTTCCTCTTAGCCTTTATGAGGCACCCGCAGAGGGGCAGCCAGGCAGATAGGAAGAGGGGAGGATAGAGTGGGACTCCATAAAGTTATGGTAAGTATTACCTCATGAAAATTGGTTTTACATTAAAAAACCTCAATTTCATTTCAGTAATAATTACCATAACTTTAGTATGCAAATTCGTCTTACCGTAGTGGTGACTAGCAGCCAGGCAGCCCATCTAGCACAACTGAACATGGTAGGGAGGGGGGACAGAGTGCATAGAAGAAGGAGGGGAACCTCCCCGTGAACAAGCAGGTAACCCATGTGCCGCCAAATGGAAAAGACAAGCCCCGGGGCTAACGGGGGGGGGGGGGGAGGACCCATTAAGGAGGGCCCAAGACGCACTCTCACCCTCGCCCAAGCCTGTCATCCGAATGCTCATCAGCATACTTAATGACCTGGCATACCCACCTAGACACCGACTGGGAGGAGATGTCTCGCTGTCCCTGTTTGATGGGCAAAAACAGATGGGATCTGGAGCCCTGCCCCCCTGGTTTTATCAAGATAAAACCTAAGAGCCCTACAGGGACAAAGCAATCTATCCCTCTCCTCCGAGCTAGTCAAAGCTGGAATCTTGATGGGATCGGGCGAGAACCCCGGGACCTGATTCTTTGCAAGGAATGAAGGATCAGTAAGAAGAGTAACTGCAGCGTAGCCTCTGGACCAACGAAGGCAAGAAGGAAGTGACGACAAGGCATGCACTTCGCTCCTTCTATGTCCAGAGGCCAAAGCCAAAAGGATGACTGTCTTGAAAGTCAGAAACTTCAAAGAGGCAGACTCCATAGGCTCATAAGGTGACCTCGTCAGGGAATCTAGCACCAAAGCTAAATTCCACTGCGGGGCCAGGTGCCGAACTCTGGGTCTATCCAGAGCGAAGCCTCTGATTAGGGCAGAAGGAGATGAGGAAGAACCTATCTCCTTCCTGCCATAAAAAGCCAAGACACTGGCAATTGCTGTCCTATAGCCAGCAATAGTGCCAGGTGCCAGATTCCGGTCCCTAAACTGAGAGAGTAGGAAATCCGCAATCAGCTGTAAGGAAAGTAAGGAAGTAAGGAGCAATGATGCTCCCTGAACTTCTGAAGCACCCTGCCCACCAGGTTGAAGGGAGGGAATGCATAGGCATGCATCCCGTCCCAGTCCAGAGAAAGGGCGTCCACAGCCCAAGCTTTCGGATCAGGGACCGGAGAGACGAAGGTTGGCAGCTGATTGTTCAGAGAAGTGGCAAACAGATCTATCAAAGGCCTGTCCCACACCTAACAAATTCCCCGGAACACCGAGGGACAGAGCTGCCATTCCGTCAACACCGGTTGGCGGCGCCTGGAGAGGGTATCCGCCAACACATTCAGCCTGCCCGGAAGATGCTTGACCGCAATGGACAATTGCATCTCCTGACAGAGGAGAAGGATGCGGATGGAGAGGGCCAACAGGACGTGAGACCTGGTGCCCCCTTGTCTCTCCAGATACGCGACAACTGTAGAGTTGTTGGTAGCCACAAAAATTGCCTTAGACTGCAGAAACCCCCGAAAGGATTGCAGTGCCAAAAGCTCTGCCCTCATCTCGAGCACATTGATGTGCTCCGAGAGCTGATCCCCAGACCACTCCCCCGAGCGCCACTGGCCGTCGAGGTAAGCTCCCCATCCTGTCATGGAAGCATCCGTGAACAGGGTCATCGAGGGGACTTGAACTTCTCGAACTTCTCCAGAGGTGGAAGGGCCAAGTCCCAAACCGTATCGAAACGGTTCCCCAGGAAGACGAAGTCCTGAGATGGGGAACCTCTGACTTCTCTCTGGAAGAAATGAAGCCGACTCTGAGCAAGACTTTCAGAACCAGCCGGGTATCCTTCACTAGCGATTCCCTCACCCTGTGAAGCATGAGGGAGTCGTCAAAATTGATGTGGACATCTATTCCGCGAGAGTGAAGGAATCCCACGACTACCTGCAGCAGCTTGGTGAATACCAAAGGAGCTGTCGTCAGCCCGACGGGCATGGCCCGGAATTGGAAGACCTTGCCGTTGCACGTGAAACGGAGGAACTTCCGTGCCAACTTCTTGATGGGGATATGGAAATAGGCATCCTTCAGATCTATCGAAGTTGCCCACATCCCGTCCCTCACGGAGTGAGGAGTATCTACGTGCCTGTTGAAGGCACTGAGATCTATGATCGGATGCCATGCCCCGGACTTCTTCCGAACGAGAAACATTCGGGAATAGAAATCGGGAATGACTTCCAACATAGGAATCTCTTCTACCGCACCCTTTGCAAGCATGGTCCTCACTTCCTCCTGGATCGCCCGAGCCTTCGCAAAATCCCCCGGAGGAGGAAAGAAGATCGGCTTGGTGGTAAGAGGCGGATCCTGAAGAAGGGGGATACCTAGACGATCCTTGACCAACGACAACGCCCAGGAAAGCGGAGAGATGCCCGCCCACAGGAAGTTCCGGATGGGGCAGATTGAGTCCCTGCCAAACCAGCGAATCGTCCGCCCTTCCGGAGCCTGAGCCTGCGGTAACAAGAGGACAAGAGACCTGAACAGGAGGACCGCCGTCCACCCCACCAGACCCCTGTTCTGTCTCAGCCAAGGAGAAGAAAGAGTCAGGAGCCCTTCTTCTTGCCCCCAGGAGGTTTCTTACCCTTCTTACCTTTCTCCTTATTGCCCTTGAAGCGTGGCTGTGATTTGGGTCGAGCAAAAGCCTGCCTAGCCGAAAACTTAGCCTTCTTCTTGGAAGGCGCTGACCCCTGGGAGGCGCTGGCCTTCTCGGAACGAAACCTCTTCACCAAAAGTGCTGAGGCGACCGAGTCCTCCTTCATATCCTTCTGAACAAAAGGGAGATCTCCCCCGAACAGGGTAGAGCCAGAGAAGGGGGCAGTCAACAGGCACGAAAGATAAGGTTCCTCGACTGGGCGATTCTTCAAGACTGAAAATCGCCTAGCCAACACGATGTTGGCGAGCAGGGAGACCTGTAAGGCCGCAGATGCCCTCAACGCCGCGTTCAGGGCAGCTGTGACTGTCCTGAATGTCGGCCTGTTCTGCCTCTGGTACCCGACCCTCAGGCAAATCAGATACCTTGTATAGACTCACTGTCAGGAAGTCTATATACGACAGAACTTGGATGGAAAGGTGCAACATCCTCTCCATCCTGTGGTGCTCTCTAGCCTCGAGCACCACCTGGTCCACCGATTTGCCGGGCCAGGCAGCCAGCTCTCTCGACTCCAGCTGTGCTGGTTGAGGGGCCAGTTGCCCGTCATGTGTGGCATAGTCAGCGGTAGTAGCCTCTGACAAATCACCAACACCGAGCTGCAGACCGCCAAACCCTGGGGTGTGGGTAGAGGAAGAATTCTTCTCTAAGACCCGAGCCCGGGCGGTGGCCAGAGCTGAAGACACAATAGTGCCATCTGGCAGAGTCCGATCAGTTGGAACGGAAGCCCGAGGAGCCACCAAAGAACCTAGAACGGTGGTGGATTCAGGCACCGACGATGCAGAAGGCGGTGGGCATACCGAGAATCCGGGAGATGTTGGCCCGTAGGGCCCGCATCCCCGAAAGAACATGCTGAGCCACAGTTTCAGCAATCTCGGAGCCCCCTACCCCCTGGGAACCCTCCTGGTCGGAAGGGTCATCTTCAGATGACTCGGACAGATCAATCGCCGAGCACCCAGGAGACAGATGGATCACATCATCATCCTCTGCCAAGCCCACGCCCTCAGCGTCCATCTCCTCCTCGCTAGTGACCGAAGTCGCCCTGGGAGGAACAGGGGCCGCAAGTGGAGCCCTCTCCGTAGAACGTGTAACAGCCGTAGCTGTAGGCTTGGAAGCCAACCCCTGAGGACAGGAGACCGCGCGGGAGGCAGAAGTCCTAAAGGTCCGGCGAACCTTTTTAGGACCGGCCGAAACGGCCCCCGAAGTAGCAGAACGTTGGGGGGATTCAGAACTGCTAAAATGTCTCCTAGAGGGAGAGACCATACCCCAAGGGTTCCATGAAGGAAGACCCATGGGGTTGAACCCAAACCTCTGAGGGAATGGGAACGGTCCTAGGATTAGTGAACTCAGTGTCACTAATCCCCGTAGCCACTGACAACCCTGACAAAAAGTCAGTGACCCCTGACCCCATACCCGAAGGTACCGGTCCGGAGTCAAGACGGCCCCAACCAACGACGCCACCTGGCGTGCCAAGGTCCCTGAAAGAATCAGAGACCTGTGACCGGAAGTCCCTTTCTGACAGTAGCACCGCCGGCTGTCGGGAGCTACCGGCCGATTCAACCCTAGACTTCGCCGAGTCTGGGTCGGGCTGCTCCCCCCATACACCAGGACGCGCCTGGACAGGGGGAGCCACCCCCTGCTCGAGGGTGGAGCTCAGAGCGAGAACACCCCCAGCAGTGACAACCTCACCCAACAGCTCAGGGCCGGGGGTAGATGACCTGGATGGCTTACCTCTCTTACCGGAAGATGAGGACGAATCCCTCTTCCGGCGAGAAGGTCGCCGACTGGATAGAGGAACCTTTACAGCGGACCCGGCGTGCAAACAAAGTTCACACGGCGCGGTCTCGCTGTAAGGTCGGCATAAGGGACAGGCATCATGGGGGTACTGCTCTCCGAAGAAATGAGAACACCCATGTGCCGAACCACGATGCAGCCCTAAACTAGCCATAATTGTTACGATAAGCAAATAACAACTGTTATTAACACAAATAAACGTTACAAAAACTAAATGGAGTGAAAAAACACAATTCCAACAAACAAATACGAACGAAAGCAAAAGCTAACGAAACGTAAAATAGCTAAACAAAAAGCGCGGTCGAATAAATAATACGACCGAAAAATAGCGAAAAAACTTCATGAAAAACCAAACGGCGCAAAACACGTGGACACGCGCTCGGTACGTGGAGTATAACAATGGCCGAACAAAGGCCGAACAAAAGCCGGCCGAATAAAGGCCTAAAAAGCAGGATAATTAACAAGTAAAAGTCTGCAAAAGACTGTTAATGTTACAGATGGGTTTAAAGCAACAAGCCGATATATAAATACTCGGCTATAAACGAAACTTAAGCTATAAGGAAAGGAAGGCACTCAGCTGGATTATAGCACGTCCGCCCGCTCCAGTAGCCATAAAGATAAGAGGAAGGGAGATAACTCTATGTTCATGATGTGAAGGCTCATGGTCGTAGGGAGGGTGGGATTTTTGAATCTTTTGTTTTTGAGATACAAAGATGGGTGTAGGTACCATATTTGCATACTAAAGTTATGGTAAGTATTACTGAAATGAAAATAATTTCTCATCCACCTAAAAATATGGAAATCGTTAAAGGGGTATAACTCCAAGGAAAACATTTACAGGGAAATTCCGCACAAGTTAGGATTTCAAGGTATGCTTTGAAGAAAACTGTACAAAATCATTTACATATGTTCTCACAAAGGATATTTAATTTGCAGAAATTCTTTATATATCTAGCTAGACTGATTTACAAATGTTGGTGCAGCTCTGATTGTGTCATAACAGGTTTGCATTTTATAAGTCATACAGAATGTAAAATCAACAGAAAATAAGCCTAATGAGGATATGATACTGCAACCCTAGCAGATATTTTAGTGACCAACATACATACTTATGCATTTACCCAATACGCCACATAAAATCTATATCCCAGTAACCTTTCAGTTTTGAATTTCCTCTATGCGCTATATTTAGACAATTTGGCTGGGATTATTTCCATCAATTTTGTCTGTCCAAATTGACCAGAGATATTTTGATGCTAACGATAGTTTTAAAAATCACTTGAGTTAGTTTTAAAAAGGTACAGAACAGCCAGAAATTTTAGACTTCAGTGGAATTTCCCTTTGAATTAAGTGATAAATTAGAAAGGACAATTTTTTTCTAATGTTCACGTGTAATGAGTTTCACAGAACTGAAATGTAAGGAGACAGATTTTTGATTGACATATGGACAGACAAATGGACTGACATCCTGATGCCAATACACTCCTTTTTACTACAAGCAGCTTCATTGAGGGCACATAACCAACTTTCATGTCCATCCAAAGTAAAAATATAAAAAAAAGTCGTCATTCTAACATTTCTGGTTGTCCAATAATCCACGTCATAACTCCATCCAATAAAAGAACTGAAACAAGCATCTTTAAGAATATTGCAATAAACACAATAATGACCCAGAGTCATATATCAATCTCGTCAATGGCTGTTTGACCTTTTGGAGTTTGATATTTCAAGAATTTTAACTTGTTAACAATTTGTGAAGAAATTGCCAATAAATTTTTTCAAATGATCCAATTTTCAGAGCCACAATGAGATCAAGTCATTCTACTTCCGTTATGATATTGTACTGCTTGATTTGAGCAAATCAGGAGTGAAGCCCCCAAAGGAAAAAACCACTAAATGTCAATCAGGAAAATTTCTGACAATGATGATCGCCCAATTGTAAGAAGAAGATTTTAAGATATCATTTTACGCTTTTAAATTGGGCGTAATTCTGACTTTAACAATTTTGAATCTCTAGATATTAACAAAATGTTAAAGTTTAAATAGGAACAGCCTTGAGTGCATGTGAAAGCTAAAACACCAATACTCTACAAATGACGTTCAATTTACCTCAATCATAGCTGTGAAAAGTCGATCGACGAACGATGTCCAAGCTTGCGGAATGATCATACTTTTGTGCCATTCTGATGGCTGGATGGGAACCTGATACAAATATATCAACATCACAAATTTTACAAAAAGTCAGGGGTGACATCACTACAAGACAATAAAATAGCATTTGTTTGCAAATTTTTAGAACAATACTTTAAGTGGGTAGCTATTTTAATTATTTCTAGGCATGGAGTTATTGATAGATAAATTAAGATGGAATCACTTGAAGGTAAATAAAAAGAGAAGATGACATTTTGTTACTGTTTTAAAAAAACTTGTATACTTATTCAAAGTCTTGTATTAATTTACGTTCCTTTAATTGAATGAAAATTTCTATATTTTTGAACTACCTTTTCAATCTGCTAATACATAAGCCCATGCCTGGCAATAATTTCACCCATATCTAATGCTACAAAAAAACTGATTGTGGTAATCACTTTTAATCACTTGATATCCTCAAAAATTAACTTAAATCTTAAACCATTTAATGTATCTCATCGAAATAGAATTTGAAAAGATTTCCAATTAGAAAAAGCAGTAGATTAATCCATGTTATTGCATACATAGAAAGTTCATTGGCCCATTTTTTTGGTTTACAAGATTTTCTTCCAAATATCAGATTGCCCGACTCTTCAGGTCTTCATAATTCAATAGTGTTGAGATCATATGATGATGTTTTATCGGGCAGACATACGAATATATATCAAAACATGTGACCGAATAAGATGGTAAAGTATGTATATATAACATATATTATCCACACCTGGTCGATTGTAGACAATGTATATTACGTTTGTGTTGTTATGACATGACAACAGGAAGGAACACCTGATATTAAATCTAAAACACCAGCCTTTTATTTCCGCAAATGTATCATTATCATGACACTTATGACGTACGTGTCTTCAATCATGGACTTTTATTTCATACGGAGAAGTCACCATTTATTTTTACATAATAATTGGGACCAGCAAGGAGGAGTCACCATTCTCTTTACATAATAATTGGGACCAGCAAGGAGGAGTCACCATTTATCTTTACATAAAAATTGGGACCAGCAAGGAGGAGTCACCATTCTCTTTACATAAAAATTGGGACCAGCAAGGAGGAGTCACCATTTATCTTTTCAAAATAATTGGGACCAGCAAGGAGGAGTCACCATTTATCTTTACATAAAAATTGGGACCAGCAAGGAGGAGTCACCATTCTCTTTACATCAAAATTGGGACCAGCAAGGAGGAGTCACCATTCTCTTTACATAAAAATTGGGACCAGCGAGGAGGAGTCACCATTTATCTTTACATAAAAATTGGGACCAGCAAGGAAGAGTCACCATTTCTCTTTACATAAAAATTGGGACCAGCAAGGAGGAGTCACCATTCTCTTTACATAAAAATTGGGACCAGCAAGGAGGAGTCACCATTCTCTTTACATCAAAATTGGGACCAGCAAGGAGGAGTCACCATTCTCTTTACAAAATACTTGGGACCAGCAAGCAGAACCCACTAAATATCTTTACATAATAATAAAGTCCCAGGTCCGAAGTAAATGCCATATAAGACCTATAACCACTTCTAGCTGATTCAAACAAAATTAAAATCAATGAACCGGAGGTCACTTGTTATATCAATGCCTCCGCTAGGATTCAAACGCAGGAACAGTCTAACGCTCAGCCGATCAACCACCGCTAGGATTCAAACTCAGGACCAGTCTAACCCTCAGCCGATCAACCTCCGCTAGGATTCAAACTCAGGAACAGTCTAACGCTCAGCCGATCAACCTCCGCTAGGATTCAAATTCAGGACCAGTCTAACGCTCAGCCGATCAACCTCCACTAGGATTCAAACTCAGGACCAGTCTAACCCTCAGCCGATCAACCTCCGCTAGGATTCAAACTCAGGACCAGTCTAACGCTCAGTCGATCAACCTCCGCTAGGATTCAAACTCAGGACCAGTCTAACGCTCAGTCGATCAACCTCCGCTAGGATTCAAACTCAGGACCAGTCTAACGCTCAGCCGATCAACCTCCGCTAGGATTCAAACTCAGGACCAGTCTAACCCTCAGCCGATCAACCTCCGCTAGGATTCAAACTCAGGACCAGTCTAACGCTCAGCCGATCAACAACCTCCACTAGGATTCAAACTCAGGACCAGTCTAACGCTCAGTCGATCAACCTCCGCTAGGATTCAAACTCAGGACCAGTCTAACGCTCAGTCGATCAACCTCCGCTAGGATTCAAACTCAGGACCAGTCTAACGCTCAGTCGATCAACCTCCGCTAGGATTCAAACTCAGGACCAGTCTAACGCTCAGCCGATCAACCTCCGCTAGGATTCAAACTCAGGACCAGTCTAACCCTCAGCCGATCAACCTTCGCTAGGATTCAAACTCAGGACCAGTCTAACCCTCAGCCGATCAACCTCCGCTAGGATTCAAACTCAGGACCAGTCTAACGCTCAGCCGATCAACCTCCGCTAGGATTCAAACTCAGGACCAGTCTAACCCTCAGCCGATCAACCTCCGCTAGGATTCAAACTCAGGACCAGTCTAACGCTCAGCCGATCAACCTCCGCTAGGACTCAAACTCAGGAACAGTCTAACGCTCAGCCGATCAACCTCCGCTAGGGTTCAAACCCAGGACCAGTCTAACGCTCAGCCGATCAACCTCTGCTAGGATTCAAACTCAGGACCAGTCTAACGCTCAGCCGATCAACCTCTGCTAGGATTCAAACTCAGGACTAGTCTAACGCTCAGCCGATCAACCTCCGCTAGGGTTAAAACTCAGGAATAGTCTAACGCTCAGCCGATCAACCTCTGCTAGGATTCAAACTCAGGACCAGTCTAACGCTCAGCCGATCAACCTCCGCTAGGATTCAAACTCAGAACCAGTCTAATGCTCAGCTAATCAACCTCCACTAGGATTCAAACTCAGGACCAGTCTAACGCTCAACTGATCAAGCTAAGCAGAAGTTCATATATTGTGAATAGTATTTTACCAATGAGTTTATATCTTTAATTGAAATCATTAAGGAGAAATGGACTAAAGTATTATTGTCAGATTTCTTGACCCTGCTCCGTCATCCCCTGGGGTCAATCCTTTCTGAGAATGTTTGAACTGTATAAGATAAATATCTGTCCTATGGTTTCTACTACTGTCACACAAATTCATCTCAATTTTTTGGGCACCATTCATCTGTTTTTGTATATTTTGAATCCCTCCAACCAAAGAAAGTTCAAGTTTTAGTCCCTGTGGAATGAAGTTTGTGGTTTTGAAGAAATTGTTGACAAGTAAATGAAACCAATCTGCATGCACACCTGGCACATTCAGACTAATTTACCCAAAAGATCTTACCTCCTGGAGCAAAGTCTTGAACATCTGCTGAAAGTTTTTGCTGTGAGAGGTTATGTAGTGTTTCCGTGGGCGACCATCCCTACCCACTTCTACTGGTGGATCAAAGCAGAAGAGTGTACTCACTGAAGTTACAACATGAGAGATAGATAAATCAATCCACATTTTTATACCACATGATTTTCCATTTTTCTATTTTCAAGAGAAAAAAATCCATTGTTGAAATGTACCCTTTCATTTGGAACTTAGGATTACATGCTTCATCAACTTTGTGTTAATCTATTTTTAACTTGTTGAGATATGGGGAGATATCAAGAATGAGTTTCTCAATGATATTTTGTTCCTAATATTTAGCTTATTACCAAAGCAGAACTAACTACTGAAAAATTTTCTCAGCAAATATCAAGAAAATGACGTACACAATACAGTTATATTTACAGTAACAGGTCCATGTCTGACAATAAGCCAACAAATAGAACACAATTTTTGTTTGGATTGATGTCTGAATACAAAAAAATAAATCATCTGTTTCGTGGTGCTTTACCTGCCAAGCCTGGTCGAAGTCCTGGCTGTTTTGTTTTGTTATAGTGACCCATGATGAATGCTGGGATAGATCCGATGGCTTTGCTCTGATTGGTCGCAGCACTCTGTCTCCATCGAGATGAGTGGTATATTCCCCTTGGTAATTCAATGACTTCCTTGGCTACCATGGCAGCCAAAAATGCTTCGTAATCTGTTAAACGTAAAATCAAAAACATTTGTACATCCAAAAAAACAAGAGGCCTAGCAACCTTGACAGTCTCCTGAGATAAGCAATATTTCCATAAAATATTAAGGTTGAGAATAGTTATCAAGTGTCATGAAACAGAAATTGTGACACTGAATATAGACAATGGCAATACATGCATACCATCAAAACTGTCATCCTATACTGATAATTCTTATTATTTCCAGTGGGAAAAAAATTGAGTCAATTAGACCCCTTTTGGCCCTGCCCATCAGCACCTGGGGGGTAATCAGGATCAAAATGGGCATACCACCAAGATGTCATCCTTCGCTCATAATTCAAACTAAATCTGAAATATTTCCAATGGAAATTAAACACAAAATGCTCAAAAATCTAGTTTTCCTATATAAACTATACTAAACTGTACCCTCTCCCCACAGGGATATGTGAGAAACTGGGGCCATGAAATTCACAATTTAGGTAAAGCACCTTAAGATGCTTCCATTCATGAAGAGTATTTAATTCTACCGCTTCTGGGTATTGAGAAGAACACTTGAAATCCAAGTGAATCTGACCCCTTCTGGCCCCACCCCGGTGGGATGGGGACTGTGAAACTCACAATTTTGGTTCATATTAAGCCAGGGTATTAGAATAGGTCCCCATGAGACTAAAATGATACCAATGTAACATTCCTTTTCAATTATGTACGAATGAAGTCATTTGAAAAGTTAATGCATTAAATGATATCACACGGATTTTTGTTTTTGTTTTTATCTCAACCAAACTTATGTTTTCACAAAACAGAGAACAAAAATCCTTTTCAGTCCAAATAAACTTTGCCTAGAAATGGACAGAATGTGAAAGGACAAACTTGTCTACAGATGGAAAAAAACCAGAAAGAGAAAGGATCTATTTTAGTCAAGGGAAACTTTCTGAAGATGGACAGAAAGAGAAAAATTATACTTCAGTCAGACAAATTTCTGTCTTCAGACAGATGGACAATCTGCTTCCAGAGTAACCCTGTAACTTCATGGTGAGGTATAAAGAACCTTATAGCAAAATAAAAAAAAAACTAATGAGAGGTATCTAGAAAATAGTGGAATATCAGTTTTTAATTCATCTTTTATATTTATAGGAATATAGAAATGTTATTTATATAACAACTACTTTCATATTTAATTGAAGTTAGTGCCCCTTAAATCATTGAAAAATAATAAATAAATATCATTACACTACAAGCTCTCTCATGTTTGATCTTGAGGGAAGATTTTTTAAATAAAATCTCAAAGATAGATGTTTTCAGGGACAATACTGGCTTCAAAAATCAATGTGATATTAAAGGAGTCAAAAACATTTACAGATAGAAAGAACTCACCATAAGAGATCAATTTTATGGAAACCTGGGTCCTTAATCCTTGATTTCTTGACTTCTTTCTTTTTTCTTTTCAAAAACTTATATTACATGTGAATAATATCACTTGACTTCAAACTTTTAGCAATTTACAGTGGACCCATGATAGTCCAATTGGCTTTGTTTCTAGCAAAATTTGCCAGGATCAGAAGTTTTCTGGACTGACAAGTTCAGGCAAAATTAAAGATTTTTATATTCTCTAAACTCAAAGGTTACAACCTTGTACCTATCCAATTGTAATGTGTTTTCTGATGATTGGTAGTAAACACAATATGTGTGTAACTATTTTTTGTCTAGAACAAACAAAACAAGTAACGTTGGTCCGGAGTTAAGGGGTGGATGTGTGACCCATTGTGTGAATAAACATGCTTTGCTTATAGCAACACAATACTTCCATTGTCAGGTTTTTTTTAATCAGTTCTAATATTGTTATGACTACTAAATAATTATAGTTTTGGCGGACACTAATCTAACTTATTATATACTAAATTTGGTTACTATACTACTTGTTTTTTCAGAACATCTACTGATCTAAATACAACTTTTTACCACTGAAACACGATCCAATGCCGACCTTTATATTGCCTTATCATCAAAAAACAAATCGTCAAAATTTCAAAATGGAACAAGATTAAAAAAAAACAAATAAAATCAAAATCAGTAGAGAAAATGTTAATTTCATTTGTCCTCGAAAATACAATATATAATTTTTTTCTTTCTAGCAAATTTGAACCATATACAGAATCAGCTGATTCACTGCCATGCAACTTCCCTTGTTGTCAATCAAGAAGTTCCATTCTTTTTAGTGTTAATGGCTTTGTAAAGAGCTGTTTTATATTTCCTACTAGAGTTCCGCAAGGCTCTCTAATTTTGGTCTCATTGTTTTTGTGAAAATTTTAATGAAAATTCTTAAAGATAAATGCCCATTACTCGTGAAAATCTAAATCAATCATAATCAAATCAGCCATCATTATACAGCTACAGGCTAAATCTTAGTTCTATATCTACGTCTACTTAAGAGCTGATAAGTAGAAACAAAATTATGCCAGACGTAAGGACAGAAGGAAACTTTCTATACACCCCTAACTATGAAATGATGCTGGCAAATAAGTAAAAAAAACTACCTGATAGTACTTCTGTAGGTAAAGTCTTGAGAAGCCTTGTGTAGCACTGAGCTGGTACCTGTGGAAACATTTCATCCACCGAGATTTCTCTCTCCTCTTCTCTGGATATATGTTCAGCTTGTTCTGTCAGATCCTCTGTAACCTTTACAAAAAAAATAGGACCCGTCAGTCTCTGACCAGATTAAAGTTATTTCTATCTCAAAACTGAGTTTAGAGACTTTATTGAGAAGTTGTACAGGGATATTTTTTTTACCTGTGTTAAGTATTTTTTTTTATCCCAGAAGGTTCTTGCACTAGAGATGATATTTGAAATTTACATTCAGATTTAAATGTCAATGAGATGATATTAAACTTAACGATGACAGTTCAAAGTTATCTAAGAAAATAGCTACTGATAATACTTGTTACAAAACAGGTCATAAATGTTGAAAATCTCATTAATTTCTGCTCAAGTGCTGGTACTCTCCTGTAACATCTCTCACTGTCACCATACCATATTCATCCTAATAAGCCTTCACCTAACTTTGAATCAGAGGTAATATGTTGGCCCCTTGAGGCCTTGTAATAAGTCCATTACCTAAGTGTGAGTCAGAGGTAATATGTTGGCCCCTTGGGGCCTTGTAATAAGTCCATTACCTAACTGTGAGTCAGAGGTAATATGTTGGCCCCTTGGGGCCTTGTAATAAGTCCATCACCTAACTGTGAGTCAGAGGTAATGGGTTGGCCCCTTGAAGCCTTGTAATAAGTCCATTACCTAACTGTGAGTCAGAGGTAATATGTTGGCCCCTTGAGGCCTTGTAATAAGTCCATCACCTAACTGTGAGTCAGAGGTAATGTGTTGGCCCCTTGAGGCCTTGTAATAAGCCCATCACCTAACTGTGAGTCAGAGGTAATGTGTTGACTCCTTGAGGCCTTGTAATAAGCCCATTACCTAACTGTGAGTCAGAGGTAATATGTTGGCCCCTTGAGGCCTTGTAATAAGTCCATCACCTAACTGTGAGTCAGAGGTAATGTGTTGGCCCCTTGAGGCCTTGTAATAAGTCCATTACCTAACTGTGAGTCAGAGGTAATGTGTTGACTCCTTGAGGAATTGTAATAAGCCCATCACCTAACTGTGAGTCAGAGGTAATGTGTTGGCCCCTTGAGGCCGTGTAATAAGCCTACATCTAACTGTGAGTCAGAGGTAATGTGTTGGCTCCTTGAGGCCTTGCAATAAGCCTACAACTAACTGTGAGTCAGAGGTAATATGTTGACTCCTTGAGGCCTTGTAATAAGCCCATTACTTAACTGTGAGTCAGAGGTAATGTGTTGGCTCCTTGAGGCCATGTAATAAGCCTACATCTAACTGAGTCAGAGGTAATGTTTTGGCCCCTTGAGGCCTTGCAATAAGTTCATCACCTAACTGTGAGTCAGAGGTTAATGTGTTGGCCCCTTGAGGCCTTGCAATATGTTCATCACCTAACTGTGAGTCAGAGGTAATGTGTTGGCCCCTTGAGGCCCTGCAATAAGTTCATCACCTAACTGTGAGTCAGAGGTAATGGGATGGCCCCTTGAGGCCTTGCAATAAGTTCATCACCTAACTGTGAGTTAGAGGTAATATGTTGAATTCTTGAGGCCTTGTAATAAGCCCATCACCTAACTTTGAGTCAGAGGTAATGTGTTGGCCCTTTGAGGCCTTGTAATAAGTTCATCACCAAACTGTGAGTCAGAGGTAATGTGTTGGCCCCTTGAGGCCTTGTAATAAACCCATCACCTAACTGTGAGTCAGAGGTAATGTGTTGGCCCCTTAAGGCCTTGCAATAAGTTCATCACCTAACTGTGAGTCAGAGGTAATGTGTTGGCCCCTTGAAGCCTTGTAATAAGCCTACATCTAACTGTGAGTCAGAGGTAATGTGTTGGCCCCTTGATGCCTTGCAATAAGTTCATCACCTAACTGTGAGTCAGAGGTAATGTGTTGGCCCCTTAAGGCCTTGCAATAAGTTCATCACCTAACTGTGAGTCAGAGGTAATGTGTTGGCCCCTTGAAGCCTTGTAATAAGCCTACATCTAACTGTGAGTCAGAGGTAATGTGTTGGCCCCTTGAAGCCTTGTAATAAGCCTACATCTAACTGTGAGTCAGAGGTAATGTGTTGGCCCCTTGATGCCTTGCAATAAGTTCATCACCTAACTGTGAGTCAGAGGTAATGTGTTGGCCCCTTAAGGCCTTGCAATAAGTTCATCACCTAACTGTGAATCAGAGGTAATGTGTTGGCCCCTTGAGGCCTTGTAATAAGTCCATTACCTAACTGTGAGTCAGAGGTAATGTGTTGACTCCTTGAGGCCTTGTAATAAGTTCATCACCTAACTTTGAGTCAGAGGTAATGTGTTGGCCCCTTGATGCCTTGCAATAAGTTCATCACCTAACTGTGAGTCAGAGGTAATGGGTTGGCCCCTTGAGGCCTTGCAATAAGTTCATCACCTAACTGTGAGTCAGAGGTAATATGTTGACTCCTTGATACCTTGTAATAAGCCCATCACCTAACTGTGAGTCAGAGGTAATGTGTTGGCCCCTTGAGGCCTTGCAATAAGTTCATCACCTAACTGTGAGTCAGAGGTAATGGGTTGGCCCCTTGAGGCCTTGTACTAAGGCCTATACCTAACTGTGAGTCAGAGGTAATGTGTTGGCCCTTTGAGGCCTTGTAATAAGGCCTAAACCTAACTGTGAGTCAAGAGGTAATGTGTTGGCCCCTTGAGGCCTTGTAATAAGGCCTACACCTAACTGTGAGTCAGAGGTAATGTGTTTGCCCCTTGAGGCCTTGTAATAAGCCCATCACCTAACTGTGAGTCAGAGGTAATATGTTGACTCCTTGAGGCCTTGTAATAAGCCCATTACCTAACTGTGAGTCAGAGGTAATATGTTGGCCCCTTGAGGCCTTGTAATAAGTCCATCACCTAACTGTGAGTCAGAGGTAATGTGTTGGCCCCTTGAGGCCTTGTAATAAGTCCATTACCTAACTGTGAGTCAGAGGTAATGTGTTGACTCCTTGAGGAATTGTAATAAGCCCATCACCTAACTGTGAGTCAGAGGTAATGTGTTGGCCCCTTGAGGCCGTGTAATAAGCCTACATCTAACTGTGAGTCAGAGGTAATGTGTTGGCTCCTTGAGGCCTTGCAATAAGCCTACAACTAACTGTGAGTCAGAGGTAATATGTTGACTCCTTGAGGCCTTGTAATAAGCCCATTACTTAACTGTGAGTCAGAGGTAATGTGTTGGCTCCTTGAGGCCATGTAATAAGCCTACATCTAACTGAGTCAGAGGTAATGTTTTGGCCCCTTGAGGCCTTGCAATAAGTTCATCACCTAACTGTGAGTCAGAGGTTAATGTGTTGGCCCCTTGAGGCCTTGCAATATGTTCATCACCTAACTGTGAGTCAGAGGTAATGTGTTGGCCCCTTGAGGCCCTGCAATAAGTTCATCACCTAACTGTGAGTCAGAGGTAATGGGATGGCCCCTTGAGGCCTTGCAATAAGTTCATCACCTAACTGTGAGTTAGAGGTAATATGTTGAATTCTTGAGGCCTTGTAATAAGCCCATCACCTAACTTTGAGTCAGAGGTAATGTGTTGGCCCTTTGAGGCCTTGTAATAAGTTCATCACCAAACTGTGAGTCAGAGGTAATGTGTTGGCCCCTTGAGGCCTTGTAATAAGTGAGTCCTACATAAGTTCATCACCTAACTGTGAGTCAGAGGTAATGTGTTGGCCCCTTGAAGCCTTGTAATAAGCTACATCTAACTGTGAGTCAATAAGTGCCTTGCAATAAGTTCATCACCTAACTGTGAGTCAGAGGTAATGTGTTGGCCCCTTAAGGCCTTGCAATAAGTTCATCACCTAACTGTGAGTCAGAGGTAATGTGTTGGCCCCTTGAAGCCTTGTAATAAGCCTACATCTAACTGTGAGTAAGGTAATGTGTTGGCCCCTTGAAGACTTGTAATAAGCCTACATCTAACTGTGAGTCAGAGGTAATGTGTTGGCCCCTTGATGCCTTGCAATAAGTTCATCACCTAACTGTGAGTCAGAGGTAATGGGATGGCCCCTTGAGGCCTTGCAATAAGTTCATCACCTAACTGTGAGTCAGAGGTAATGTGTTGGCCCCTTAATAAGGCCTGTGTTGACAATAAGTTCATCACCTAACTGTGAGTCAGAGGTAATGTGTTGGCCCCTTGATGCCTTGCAATAAGTTCATCACCTAACTGTGAGTCAGAGGTAATGGGTTGGCCCCTTGAGGCCTTGCAATAAGTTCATCACCTAACTGTGAGTCAGAGGTAATATGTTGACTCCTTGATACCTTGTAATAAGCCCATCACCTAACTGTGAGTCAGAGGTAATGTGTTGGCCCCTTGAGGCCTTGCAATAAGTTCATCACCTAACTGTGAGTCAGAGGTAATGGGTTGGCCCCTTGAGGCCTTGTACTAAGGCCTATACCTAACTGTGAGTCAGAGGTAATGTGTTGGCCCTTTGAGGCCTTGTAATAAGGCCTAAACCTAACTGTGAGTCAAGAGGTAATGTGTTGGCCCCTTGAGGCCTTGTAATAAGGCCTACACCTAACTGTGAGTCAGAGGTAATGTGTTTGCCCCTTGAGGCCTTGTAATAAGCCCATCACCTAACTGTGAGTCAGAGGTAATGTGTTGGCCCCTTGAGGTCCTCTTATATGCCAAACCAGGAGTATGAGTCAGAGGTTGTGTAGACGTTATGGGGTCCTGTGCAAGCCTTACCTTGACTCTGAGTCAGGGTTAATTTGCTGGCCCCTTGAGGTCCTGTAATAAGCCACCACCTTGACTTTAGGTCAGAAGTAATAACCTAAGAGGTTTTGTAATAAGCCCACCCACAGGCTCTGAGTTAGATGTTATCTTAGCCCCTTGAGGCCTTGTAATAAGCCAACCCCTTGATTCTGAGTCAGCAGTAATGATCTCTGAATTTTTTGTAATAAGCCCATCTCCTGACCTTGAGTCAGAGAAAATGACCCATAAGGTTTTGTAATATGCCCATCCATGGACATTAAGTAAGAAGAAGTGTAATAAAGCTAAGCGCTTATTGAAATGTTAATGCAATAACAACGTTTTAAATGGTACATAATATTGTATAGCTAAGTCAATATAAAATAACC